AATCAATAAATCAATATCCTCACGACGTCAAGAAAATCATGATAAATCCTAAAGTTCGCCGTACCTCACATTCAAATCAGCCAGTCTTCTATTCGACGCTTGTGAGATCGCATACGGATTACGGTAATTTGGAAGTTGTTGATCATAGCTAGAGTGCATACTCTCCTAAAATCAGTTGTAATTACAAAAAATCGAAAAATCAAAAATTGAAAAAGTGATACCCTTAGGGAAGCATTTTCATGTGCGAGCATTTGCTGTGCTAGTATAGCTGGGTTAGTAATTTTATGAATAAATTGACACCTGAAATTGTGCTTGTAAAAATTCAAATAGAGGAAAAATCGATAATTTTGTCTTACCTCGCTCCGTATTTACAGTAACCAGTGCTAGAAAATTTATCGCATAAGACAGTTTTGTACTTCGGATGATTGCGACCGCGGGGCTGCAAAATTTTTTTCTATTTTTTTTCAAGATTTTGATCACGGCTACCCGTACCTGAGACGGTAGACGCAATTCGTCCACTCCGTGTGCAAAACGACAATCTTTACCATAACTGCAAGTTTGTGTACGGCGCCATGACTCGCATAGAGCAGTTTTGTAGGCGTCTTCCTGGAATTACGGTAGGGATAGGGTAAGGCAATTAGAACAAAAGAAACTGCGAATCAGATGCAAGTTCAATTTTTTTCAATATACAACTAAATATACCATCTTCACAAACAGAGCGCAAATGTGAAAAGTTTGAAATTCTTTATTAGTTCTTCTCAACTTAATTTTGCTATTCACCTCATTTTATCAATTATTACAAAGTATCATATATTGTGTCTAATTTTTGAAAAATTTTGATTTACTTTATCTTCAATTGAAAGGCTAGAAGAGAGAAGCTCATAAGCGCATTAGAATATTAGAATATCAAAAACGAGGCAATACCTTTCTTTTTTGTCTCAACAATTCTTCCCTCTCATCATCGGCCAAGGTACATGGATCTTGAGCAGCTAAAGCTGATTTCACGCAACTGCTCAATTGCTCGCGTAAATACGCATCCTGAGCAGTGAGATTACGTAGAAGGTTCTGGAAAAGACGACATGTGAGCCACAATTTAGTACAGGCCTGAATTGTTGCAAATGAACAATGTCTTACCACATCAAAACCCATCAGATCGGGAGGACAAGTAGTATTGTGCTTTTCATCGACTTCATACATAGAATAGTCGTTGAGATTTGTTTTCATCAACTTAGCTGCAGTGTTATCAATATCGTTACTATCGTTGAGTCTGGTAGTGTGAATTTCGGGCAGACGGTCGGACATCTTTCTAGATATGACGAATCAAGATGAAATTTGATGACCGTTGATAGAATGTGCAAGCAATTTTCTTATGACAATTAACTGAGAGCAGGACAAAGGAACTCAAAATTGAGGACGAATCGTAACATCTGCGCAAGAAAGAAAGCTTCGAATGATCCA